TAAGCATCTCATAAAGTAAGGATGCTTAGTCGAAATGGCGACTCATAAGGCGATGAAACCGGTATCCAATACTATCCTTTGTATTTGTAGCTTTCTTAGCGAAGTTATGGACATTCATCCACGTTAAAAATATGGCTGTAAAATATCCAAAAATTCAACCTAAAATGAACTATCGATGATAATTCTGCAGATTATATCCTTCATTGTTTTTTTTAATGTTAAAGTCAATGTCTTAGAGCTAATTTTCCAGGCGGTGCACGCAATTTTTTTTTGTCAGAGTGAAACTAACATGACTTTATCCGGATTGGCATTCGATATACATGGAAAACAGCTTCGAAACAGCATTTCGTACTGCATCGAAATTGTAGATCGCTCTTTTATAAGCGTCTACGTCTAAGTTTCCTTTCTCTCAGCAATTTATAAAAGTCTTTGTTTTACTTCCAATTTCCTAAATCAACCTACTGTTATTGTGTCAGACGTCATAAAATCACCACTGAACATTTCGTCTACGTTTAGATGTAATACTTAGCACGAGGCATTGCAACAACATGTTCATCCTTAAAGGAGCAATAATCAGGCTGGAATACAATTACCACGTGTAGTAGTATAAGCAGAATGTGATAAGGTTTTTCTAACAAAATAGTGGAGCTAAGAGCGAGTGTATTGTACGTATTTTTAAGGAATGAAGAGAAGCTATAAGGTAATCGGACTTCTTTTAAGTCTTAAATGTATATAGTGATGAAGTCCTCCTGTGTAGAAATTATTTTCTTATGGGACGTTTGAGCTCTAAGTTCAAATCATGTAGAAGGTACGCACTGCAACCATCGCAATTCTGCGCTAGGGAGTTGTGGCCGTAAACTGGTCTGTATCCGTGCTTGTCCTCCGATGTAACAGTGATGGATAGCCTAGGCATTCTAGGTGGTTTACATCTAAAACAAGCATTTTTATAAGGAAAATATCATCTTTAGAGTCTCGGAAACGCTTTGCGAAACAATTTTTTTTGCAAAATATACAATTTTTTGTAAGTTCAGTTGCCTTAAATAGGATCCTCGCATCAAGTAGTTTTCCAGGCTTTCCACACCCAGTTTGTTCTGTTCGCCGGTTACATTTGCCTTTTACAACAGCTACAGTACCAATATCAGAGTGGTTGCCTTCGACGGCTGCATTCGCTTGGGCATGGTGATTGCATGGATGTTACTCTGGGTACGCAGAACTTCTGATGTTTCGCATGTTTCTCATCTAAATAACTCTGGCTGCGCTTTAAAGAGAACTTGTGATGTTTTATTCTAAGTTCTAAGTGGACATCACAGGTTCTCTATAAGCATACCAAATGATATTGTGTTTTTTTCTGATTATTCTATATCATAAATCTGTTTCAAAATGAAGTCATTAATTATAGAATCTTTCAAAAGTATGTATTACAATGATTTCAGAAGGTTTTGCCACA